CATTTACCACAACTTAAAGGTATCTTATATTATTAGATATGTTATTATAAAACATGCTTTAGTTAAGGAGTTATTGATACTTCAAGTGCAAAATGATGATATAAAACCTTGATAAAAATGCACTTTTAAGTACTAATCAGTTGTTATTAGGTCTAATGATTCTTATTTCTAGTATTTTTTAGATCATTTTCTCCAGGATATCTTTTTGAAAGCTTAAATACCTGTAAGGCCTCAATTGACAAGTAATAAACCTTTTTGCAGTTGTATTAAATGATTTTGGGCTCTCTGTAAGGGCAACCTTTTTGGCTCTTTAAATACATCTTGATGTTTCATTAGCAGTTCCTCTAAGACAAAATCTTTTTTCATCTTAGAAATAAGTATAGTTTTAAAACTTGGCTTAGCTTGGTGAGTCGACCAGAGACCCGACTGACCTAAGGATAAAACTGAACCAGGTTATAAAAAAATAAGTTTGAAAACTTAGCTGACATGGTTGACCTAAGGATAGAACTGAATCGGGTTATAAAAAAAATAAGTTTGAAAACTTAGCTGACACGGAAAGTTGACCTAGTAACCCGATTTACCAAGTCAAAAACTCGATTGCAACTCGTTGATTATTTTTTATTTTTTACTAAAATGACATCATTTTAATTTATAAAAAAAAATAGATTTAACCCAGGTGACCTGGGCCTTAAGCCGAATTAACCACCGAGACATGTTTAAAAACACTGGAAATAAGAGTAGTAAACATGAGTTACACATAACTTTCCTTTCCTGCCATCATCTTTATACTACATATTAATTTCTACCAAATGAGAAGAGTTAGTCAAGCAATCCATTAAGTTTATCTAGCCTAATAGTTTGTAAATTAGCAATTTCTAAACCCTATAACAACACCTTTTAACCTTGCCAATAAAAAGGCATCCACAATTCTTTGTAGTTGTATATAATGTCTTATAGAAAAGCCAACCACTGAACCCTTATTACCGTGTCATTGTTATTCAAATCGACCACAAATACATCTGCTATCAAATTCATCACCTTTATTTTCCACTTGAAATTCCAGCATGTAGTTGTATTACTCATATTTTCTCCATTATTAATTTTAATTGTAAGAGGCTTGATGCTGGTGAGATTATAATGTAAACTCTCAGTTACCGTTATATTGATAAAATTATGGGTCTTGTATGACTCTACTAGTATAGATAATAAGTGTTTATCAATTATATCAGTCACCCTTAAGGTATGAAACCCATCGTACCCTCTAAAGCATTAGAGCAAATATGGAGATTAATTGTATTTAGAGTCTGTGTCTATTTTATCATACCCTCGTCATCACTTTTCTTATTGTTAATTATGCAAAGTAAGTAAAGTCTTTTGTTTTTACATTCATGCCCTGGTACAAATCTCATGTCACGCCAAAAACAAAGACCTTTATATCTTTTATCTTTTAGTTCCTTACTCATCAGGGCTTGGTAGGTTTGTCATTGAGTTTTTATGTATATCCAGAGGTAGGTATAGGTAGCAGCCCAACTTGTTAAGGTCTTGAAGGGTTAGGAATAAAAGGTAAAGGAATTTTAAAAGGGTTTTATAGTGATTTCATTTTGGTTTGAGTGTTTGATGTTATAATATGAGGGAGGTGTTTGGTAGACCATGGATAGTCACGCTTGTATATTACGGTATTATCTTATAGTGTAGATAAATTGTATGTTTGTTTTGAGCATTTAGGCTAAAACATTCTTACTAGATCTTTTATTTCAATCTCCAATCCCCCAATAAAAAAAATAAGTGCTTGTCTTTTATTGATGTTTATCCTATTTCATAAAAACATCAAATTCTTTTATATAAGTCTCTAGGTTGCTTGCATGTCTCGTCTCTATGAGTTTTTTTCTAAAAGGTCCTTTTATCCACCAAATCTAACACATAATATCTTTACATACTCCTTCCATGTTACTTTCTGACTACCAAACTTCTCATGTAGTTTTGGTGCCAATATATGGCTATACCATTTGGGTAATAGAAGATCAAATTGAGTTTCTCTGATTCTTCAATCTCTTTTAGATCAAAATATTGATTGCACTTGTATAACCACTCATGAACCTCCACTCCATCAAAATTAAGAAAATCAAGTCTAGGTTTGTGTGTATTAAGTGAAGTTTCCCCCTTCATTAGATAAGTAAGGTATTTCCATTAAAGTTCTACCATGAGTTGTTTATTTATCTCTGGCAGCATTAGTCTCCCTTGTGGGTATTTGTAGATTTTAGAGAAGAGTTGTTTGTTGATAAACCAATCCACTAATAAGTTTTTTGAGTTTATCAATGTTAACTTCATAGTTGGTTCTAGTAGTTTCCAACTTATGATTATAGGTCTTTAATATCTTCATTAGTTATTTATAATTTTATGCTTGATCTTTGTTGATAGCTTTTAGTAAGCTTTACAATTTTTTTTAGGTCCAGTTTTCTAGAATTAGGAGTTATAGTATTAGGTTATACATCAATTACTTTGATACCAATTACTGCAAGTTTAATGGAATGATCTCCAACCAAGAAGAAATCCAGTAATGTTGCGGGTGATTGTGCAATATGGTTTCTAAGCCATAAATCAATAAATTTGAAAGGGAGAAGGAACATAATAGAACAATATAGATTAGAATAAAATAAAAGGAATGAGAAAAAAGAAGGGATGAGATGACAAAATTGGTTAATTCATTGTTTTTTCGTGTCTTTTCCCTTTAGCATTATTATTACATATAAGCTAAGAAATATCAGACATTACATAATTTATGCTTCAATAGACACGTGGAAAGATAAATCATTATACTAACAGGAAAGAATATAATAAAATAGTACGTGTGGGTGAATAAATGAAACGGTTCATTTAGTATAGTTTTGTAATTCTGATTCTTCCAACGATCACGCGGTGCGTTTTGATTATTGTAAATTTAAATGATCATTAATCATTGTCATTTCTTCCCTTCTCACTTTCACTAGGCAACAATTCTTGATCTTTTAGTATTTGTGAGAAGGTCATTGTCAATTTGAGTTACACTTTAAATCCAGTCCAAAACAGGCTTTGAGTCATGAATTTTTCATGTTGACCAATATGATCAGACTATGTCGGGTTTAATAGCAATGCTTGTAAGTTGGGTTTAGGTGTGATTCGTTTTATTAAATCTGGTTTTATGTTTTTCTCTTTTGGAGCAACCTTTATTTTTTTATCGAACAAGCCTATGTTATCATGACCCAAACAAATAATGCTCGGACGCCATGTTTGGCTTCAAGCCATGGATCCTTTTTAGATATTTTTGATGAGATGTCACATGAATTTGCTTTCTTCCTTGCCATATTAAGTCCAAATTATGATGATGGAGGAGCGAAAAGTTTATCATGGATTTACAGGTGCAAAAATGAATGATTTCCACTTAAAAATCAATAAAAGATTGAGGTTTAACACATGAAAGGTAACATATAATATGTAACTAGTCAATCTCGATACCTATAACTAGTCAATCTTACATATACAAATGAATTTGAAAAGAAACTATGGAAAATTAGTTAAATTAATATTTCCCCTTAAGAAAAAATGATAATGAATGTCAAGTATTGTTTTGAAAATATGAAAATTATCAACAACAATTAGTTTTGCATTTTCCTTGCATATTAGATACTTTTAGGTTTAACATGTCAATTAGTTTAATAAGAAGCTTCAACTTTAATTTCAAGCACTTGGAAAATATTATTATATATATATCTACCATATATATAAGATTATTTATCTCATGCTTATAGAATTGAGATTCTCTAAAAAGTAATTACATTTGACTTGTTAGATCGTTAAGATATCATACCCGGGTCATGAGTCAATTAAATTGACCAATATTAAACCGGACTCTAACTTTTTTTTAAAGAAAAAAAGCTTGAGACAATGTCATTTTGATATATAAAAAAAACTTATTTAATTGACTCATCCTAAACTAATCTTTGAATTGATAAGTTAACGAGTTGATCTCCTAAGTTAGATGATATAACATTGATTTTCTTGACTGGGCTTGTCCTATAATTGTATAAGATCAATTTGGAAATCTAAGCTAAAGCTTAAAATGGTAAGTTTCATCTACATCAGTAGGTTATGGATCAATTTGTGCAAAAATAACAAGGCCACGAGCAAATACAAATGACCTAATTCCACCAACCACGATGAGTTCTTCTTTATTTTTATGTGCTACATGCTTAGGTTAAATATGGAGATTGCTTAAGTAATTAGATGTATCAAATATGAGGTGGATAACTTTGAAACCTAAGTGTGCAAAATGTTTTATCAAAATTATAAAGCCTCGAGCTTTTCATATGACTTGGTAAGTGTTTCTAGGCCATTTTATAAGCATATGATGAAAGATGAATGCCCCATCATTAGATCTTATCGCTAGTTGAATGTTAAAGCTTGAAATTTAAGGTTGTTAAGCGTATAATGACAGGGGCAATTGAGGTTTAGAGTTCTTTTTTGATTGGTTTTTATGGGAAATTGGTGAGATAAAGAATGATGGCTAGTATTGCCAAAAAAACTACAATGAACTGAGCGTATAATGACAGGGGCAATTGAGGCTTAGAGTTCTTTTTTGATTGGTTTTTATAGGAAATTGGTGAGATAAAGAATGACGGCTAGTATTGCCAAAAAAACTACAATGAAGAATATGATCCTACACTGTATCATGTACCAATTGATCTGGCCTTTTGAAATATGTTAGCCTAGTCTTAAATGTCCTTCTTGAGAGGACTTGTTCAATACATTCCTTGTTCAAAGGTTGTAGCTCTTTATCACAAAAAGTTCCAGCCATCTAATCCATATTTATAAGCCTTCTCCTAACCCAACATGCAATATGTCAAGTTAAGAGTTATAAGCTTACTGACTTTATTGGTGAGTTAACTAGTATGTTATATGCGCCAATCTTTAAATAAAAAGGGCAAATACTATAAATCATAATTCTAATTTATTGTTAAATTAATATTACTTTAAACATATTATCGTTTTATTCAAGGCATAAGAAAAATGATATTTATCATGACAAACTAATATTTCTTTTTCATTAAAAACCTTATCTTGAAGCATCTTTGACATATAAAAAATATTAAACTTGTTTTGAAGGTTGAAAATCTAAATAACTAGAAGAGAAAAAAGATGCAAAGAACCATCACAGAACTACATTACAACTATGCCCCAAACTCTAAGATATAAAATAATCATATCTAATGTCTATCATTTTTTTTCATTATTGTTGCCTTAAACACATATTTTGATAATTGAGTATTTCAAATAAAGACCAAATCTGAGCAATATATATGCATGAGTAACTCTTCTCCTTTTTCCGGGCTTTAGATTAGTGGTGAGCTATATGGTATGCAATACAAGGTGGAGTTGCATGTGTAAAACATGTAGAAGAGGTCCTTGTATGCCTATAAAAAAATAAGTATACCAAAGCACAAAATATTGTAAATTTGCTTAAACAGTTACACAAACAAAATTTTTTTATAAGAAAGCCATTAATATTAAAATATATTAATTTAAAAAAATAAAATATTTAAAATATTTTTAAAATATAATATCAAATATTATCCAAGAACCTATTTGGAATTACAGTAACAACTATTATTTAAAATATTTTTAAATTAGGATTGTATTAAAATAATATATTTTTGTTTAAAAAAATATTTTAAATATTAGTACTTTAAAATTTAAAACTATAAAAAAATATTTTTAATTAAAAAATAATAATTTAAAATTTTTAAGAATTGGGTTGCCAGGCACTAAATCCGTACTTAAGGTAGCGAAAGCATAGTTTTTAAACCCGGTTTGGTGTCTGACCCGGTCCTAGGCCCGGGTTCCAGGTTTTGACCGTTTTTTAATTTTTAAATATATTAAAATAATATATTTTTATTTTTTTTTAAATATTTTTGATATAAGTATATTAAAATAATATAAAAATATATTAATTTTAAAAATAAAAATTTTAAAATATTTTTAAAATATAATATCAAATATTATCCAAGAACCTATGTGGAATTACAGTAACAACTATTATTTAAAATATTTTAAAATTAGGATTGTATTAAAATAATATAATTTTTTATTTAAAAAAATATTTTAAATATTACCCGGTTCCAGCCCCGGATCGTCCGGGTCTCAGGTCAACCCTCCAGGCCGGGCCGGGTTTTAAAACAATGAGCAAAAGAGACTGAAACCCACATGAAAAGAACTGGTAGCGAAAGAGACTGAAACCCACATGAAAAGAACTCTTCATTTTCTGACCCTAAAAACATGTAAGAGAAACACCTTGAACCGTTGTTTATCTCTTCTTCTTCTTCTTTTTTTTTTTTTTTTTTTTATGAATGAAAACGTCTGACTCTGTTCTGGGTTTTCTTTAATATTTGCAAAGACTCCAGCTCTTTGTTTTTTTGTATATTTGTCTCTTAAATATGGCTTCTGGGTCACATTCACAAGGAGTTGAAAAAGGTGTTACTAATAAAAGCATAAAGGAGAAGGTTTGGTCTTTAAAATCAGCTTTCATGTCTCAGCATTTTGCGGAAATTGAAGGACTTTTGTTGGCCATGGAAGAAGAAATGGAAATTGAGAAGAAGTCATTGAAGAAAGAGAAGGAATCGATGGAAGAAAAGGCTCGGAGTGAGAGATCGGAGAGATTGAAAGCTGAGATTGAGCTGAAGGAGTGTAAAAGAGAGTGTTTGCAGTTGAAGAAAGAGCAAGGAGGGTTTAACGAGTTATTGAGGATTAGTGGAGAGGATAAGAGGATAATAAGAGAGCTCAGAGAGGAAATTTGTCAGTTGAAGTGTGCGAAATTGAAGGTAGAGACTGAAGTTGATGCGTACGAGAGTAAGTTTCAGGAGTTGGAGATGAGGGTTTTCCTTTTAGAGAAGGATTTGATGTCGTTGATTCCCGAGGAGCCTGTAAATAATGTTAGGGTTTCCAGGGGGGTTGTGGAAGAGAAGGTTGTTCTGAATGAGAATGTTGTCACTGTGGAAACTGAGGTGGTTTGCAGTGATTCCAATGATACCATTGCTGTTGAGGCAAATGGTGATCCTAGGTCTCACTCACCAGAGAGCAGAAACGGTGATGTGGGGGGCCCAGGTTCGGTTTCTGGCGAGGGTCCGGGTTTGGGAGAGAGGGCTATGATGGAAAATGGAAACGGCAGTGACAGGGTTGGTAATGTGAAAGCTGAGACGATTGCTGTTGATAATGATGAGAACATGGTTTTAGGGGCAAGTGGAGGTTCTGGGAGCAACTTGCCGGAGAATGGAGACGGAAACATTGGTGCTTCAGGTATCGCTATGATTCTTGTGTTTTTATTGTTATCTGTATCTGTTAATTTGATTATATTTGTTTATATTCCTTTGCTCGTGTTTTAGTCAGAGAACTATAAGAATACATTAGTTAAGTTGATTATGCTTGCTTTAGTTTTTCACTCATATTTTGTTTAGAGAATGTGTGGTCTGTAATATTCAGTGCACTGTTTCTGTCATATGTGATTTCGGAAATCTATTGAATTTAAATTTCTCCGTGCGTCTCCACTGAAGTTCTTTGTCAAAAGAAACTATGCTGCAAAATCCTTTGTAGTCCAAGAAAATTCTTGTCCATCTCTGACTCCCACGAGCAAATGAACTTTAAAAGAACTGTGAACCTTGAAGAGACAGAGAATAAGTGAATTGGATTAAACCATCTCAATCTCATCTGAAAAAATATCTTTCAAGCTACTCAGAACATTAACATTAGGGAACTAATCAAACAACCTGTATATCTACCAGGATTACCAATAACTGATGACAACCTCATACAAGCTTAAATGCATTAGCAATTACACTAGGCAGACTACTAAACTGACTAGAATATGTGTGATACTACCTATTGGGAATCAGGGGCACATCAAGTTATGGAATGGTCTAGTGTTGCGTGGGGTATTAAGGGTATCATCTGCCACTTGAACTGGAGAGCATTTCTACAAGATGATATCACGTGATTACAATTAGCAATGTTATGTTTATGACAACCAGATATTGATAGCGCATTTTTTTCTTGCCAGGTGGATGGACACGTCAATCACCAGACATTATAGAGATTAATGACAGTGATGATGACTCTTCTTCGAGTGTGACTTTGAGTGGAAAAAAATTGGCCAAGCCAGGACATCAGCATGAAGCAGATTTAGGTCTGGAAGTTGTCAACAATGAGACCAAATTGCTCAAAAGAAAACGAACCTCCCCTTCAAATTCTAAGGATGATAGTGATGGTATCAAAGAGCCCAGGGCAACAAAATGCCAAGTTTTGATTCAAGGCCCTGAAAGTGCTCCTGTCAATTATTGGGCAGCAACAACCATGTTTTCTGGAAGTGATGACAGAAGAAATATTTTTAATCAATCAAGGCAAGCTCCAACAATTTCGAGACAATATGAGGAGGAAATTAGGGTTGGACAGAATTCCCAAATACAGCGGAGGGAGCTTGTTTTGGATGGTTCTGATGGTGAGCAGAGTTCCAGCTCCTCCGACTCTGATGATTTTGATTTTCCAACTGACTCTATGGTAATAGAACCAACACAAGTACATAGAATCCATAAAAAGTGGAAATCTGAAGCAGACATGGTTGCTGCTTTAAAGCAAGATGTAGAACTACGTTTAAGGGCTGTTTGTGCTCTGTTTGGACAGCAGGCTGCTGTGCAGAAATCATCGAACTTCACGTCAACTTTCCAAAATCAAGGATTTGACAAGGTTGATGCAACCAGGTATGGCAAATGTTGCACATTGTTCTGTCTTTATGTGCCGCTGGGATTATATGATTGATGGGTTTTGAGAATCATTTTCTATAATGAGGATTATTTGACCCTACTCTGTCGTGTCTCAACATTTCTTTCAGTGATGAACTACACATTCGTTCTCAGGAGTTTCTCTATGTTCTGAAGCAATTAATTTTGTAAAATAATAGAAGTGAACTGGTTTGGTGCTCATTACTCCACTGACACGGGAAAGGCTTGGACAGATATGCATGTGTGCCATTATTTTTTTCTGTTTTGGTCTGCGTCTTGTAGTATTGTAAATTAGAGAGAGAAGGAATTGGGGTTTTTGGATTGAAATTTGAGTTGAATGTAGAAGTGCAGGCATAAATTGGGTGTTACTTTAGCAGGAGCAAGAAAGAGAGTGGAAAAGAATATGATGCGAGTCCTTGTAAGAACCCCACATGCATAAGTAATTGTATTGGTCAACTTGCTATAAGCAGCTGGTACGTTTTAAAATTCAGGTGGTCTGTTTGACAAACGGATGAGTTAGTATTTCTCTCAATAACCCTAGAAGATGAATAAAATTTGCCACTAGTTGTACTCTTAAGTAACTGCTCTATCTTGGTTTGTGATCATTATTTACGACTGCTGTACCAGTATTATAACTTCTCTCTGAAAATAACATCTTTCTCTGCTTTTCTATTTGAACTTTCCACTTGTTGCTTGTTACCATTGTTCTCAATAACAGGCTTTGCTATGCCTGACACTTTTCTCCAGGGGTACTGCTTTGGCTGAGTTTCTCACGAATGGGGATCCCCAAGGGAAGCTGAAGAAATCAACTATGGAGCTGGTTGCAGATGACCCAGGAGGTTTCCATGATTGCAAGAGACTGGCCATCAAGTATTCCAAGCAATTATTTGAGATGTGGCAGGGGAAAGGGGATCCTCTTTTCTTCAAATGAATAGCAAGTGCTGATATCAGAAGTTCGCCGTGATAGTAGCTGCTAATCCAGTGACCTAGAAGGATTGGTCTTTTAGGTATTTAACATTTCACCAGGCCGTCACCTTGAGGCATTTACAGTCTCGTGTGCATTAGGTATGACTGGATCCCTCCGCATGTAGGTCAGTCTTGAGATATTGAAAGGAGTGGGAATAGAAAAGATGGAGTGCTGATGTTTATATGGATCTTATTTGGCTAATGAATCTTGAAGTTATTATAGTAATGTCCTGTACTTGTTAATCAAGCTTAGTTACATGGATGTCTTGTACTGAAGTTTGAAATTATTTCGCTGATGAATCTTGAAGTCATTATAGTACTGTTGCTCTTCGTTTTTTCTGTTTAACCGTTTTAAAAATCATTTTAAAACTAAGTTCATGTTTTTATAGGGTATTTAAAGAGATTATTATTTATTAATGTATTGTTTCTACTTTCACATAAAAATAAGATCTGTCATGATGATTACTCATGGATTATCAGTGTCTTTTGTTCAATCAATATTTTGTTATCATGAAATATACATGTATAAATTACAAATTCAAAATGAACACATTTATCATTAATAGTATTTATTTTAAATTTATGATTTATATACCAAATTTGTTTTGTTATTATTTTTATATTTTGCATAGTTTTGGTTGATGGATTGCTAGAGGCAGTTATAAGATCCAGCTCAGTTGAAATCCAAGTTCAAGGAATCAACTCAATTTTTGACCTTTTTTTTTTTTAAAAAAAAGTCTAAAACTACATTGTTTTAATAAAAAGAAACCGGGTTTTTTTTAACCGGCATACTCTTTCGAGTTAACCTCCTTGCCTGGTCAAATCTTGTAAGTTAGTTATAACTTGAATTAGAAGGAATTGGGTGTCCCATGGGTGTCTGGGACGGGGATATTACTGTCAAAGGCAGCAAGTTCCACCTAACCATTTGAAGGTTTTTAGATTAATACAAAACAAAATTAGACCCAAAAATATTAAATAGTTAGGTCAAAATAATTGGAAGTTTGCAACTTTGTAGATTATAACAAAGAAGAAATGGACCGAGTCAAACCCTTTTCTGTATTAAATATCAAGTTTGCTTCCATAGATTATTATTAATAATCTTAAAACGACTTTTAAAGTTTAATAAAGTTGAATTTAACTATTCTACGTTTGTTACACAATTGCCCTCATAACCAAATAATGGACTAGTAGTTAATCTACAACATCCTTCTCCCACGTCTCAATCGCGATTAGGATAACTCCTGCGTTGACTGCACTTTGACCGGAAGAGCTTGAGGGTAACTTGGAAAACCCTGTTTCTTTTTCTGATAATATAAATGAAAATGCATCTACAAAAATACAAGTTCTTCACATAATGGGGATAGCCAGAAAGGGTAGGAAGAGGTCTCTAATCCTAACGAACAATTAATGTTGTGAAGCCTAAAAAGGGCAATATTTCAATTCTGACAGAAGCTGAAACCCGCTTTCCACCGTCAGGGCCCTCTCTCTCTTTCTTTTCGTTCAAAACCTGCAGTTTGTATTGTCCAGTAGTATACTATTGCGCTTCCAGACTTCGTTTGATTCTGTTGAAACTAAAACTGGGAGCACGAATATTCTTATATATTCTGAAAACCAACAAAAAAAGACAGATTTTCCCCCCATAAAAATTGAAATAGTGTTTATTTAGAGAGGGAATCATGCCAGCACCACACCCTTTCCAAGCAAATTTAACTGACTCTTTGAGGGGGCTTAAAACAAACGACTAGGAATTGAACATGAGATCAAATATTCAAATAAAAACTACGAATCTTCCAAAAGAATAAGAAAAACTTACTTTCTATTGATTTAATCGTGCAGTGCACGGATATATACAACAGTAAATCGAGAATTAATTAATACACGGAGGAAAAAAGACACGCCATCGCCTTCAAGTTTCAGCATCACGGTCTTTCACAGCGGTTACTTACTGGTTGGCAGAAAGAGCCTTGACCATCTCTCATGATTTCTCATCCAGTGAGCTGAATCAACTGGAAGCTAAAAAAATATTGCAACAATATAGATAAGCATATACATTTACATGCAGGGTAAATTAAAATGGACAACTATTTCCAGCAAAGCATAACATAACTCCATCACCATATGTTATAGCCATGCATCTCTCCTCCTTAACCCGGGCTTGAGACCGGCTGTGAGCTATGAAATGCAGCACAGGCGGAGTTACATGCATTCAACCACACACAGGTACCAACAAGCACTCACAGAGAAACAAGAAGCATGCAGAAGAGCAAGCTCTTCCAAAAAGCCAAAGGCCTAAGCACATCATAAAAGCAATGGATATCAAACGAACCCCGGTAAAGATCATAGAATCGAGCATTCAAAAACCTTACGCTGTAAAATCATATTTGCTGCATACTTAGCAAAACTGTAGCTCCACTTAGAACAACACTTGACAAATCAACGTTCACTACCACAATCTGAAACCACGGAACCAAAATTCAAGGACAGTCCAACACAAGAAGATGTTTAAAGAAAAACAGAAACCACGATCCATGCAAAGCAACTTGACAATTCCAACGACAGCAACTTTTGTTTTTCACACGCACATGATGCGGGAGATATCAAACACCTTCAAAAATCATCAGATTGGTACACGGGTATTCAGAAGTGAAAGACAATTTTACAAGATCCAACATATTGCCAAAGGCAATCTTAACCCAAACCATGACGCAAAATTCAGTATTTGATATTGCAACATGATTGGACCATAACTTCAAATAGCAGAAGCTCAGGCAAAAAACAAAAGGCCAAAATACCAAAGGGAAGCACAGCTGGTAATCCCTGCAAACCAAATTCACCAAACAATAACTAGCCATCCATCAATAACTCCAACAGCCATGTAGTCACTGCCATTTAATAGGAAGACCAAGCCAGACTCAGCCATAAACTGAGCAGCCAGCAACACTTTCAATGGGTCAATTGCCATCCACTGGTTCCTAAAACACAATGAGCATAAGCAACAGAGACAGGGTCAGGAGAGTTGGGGGGGAGGTCAAGCCTACCACATGCATCAAGTATAGCTTCATCCAAGTTCATCAGCCCCAGAAAAGATCTCTAAGCCAAGAAATATTGATGAAAAGAACAAGAGGTGACGCAAAGGACATCAATTAAAAGCAAAGGAACCCTTCTAGACACTTGCCATCTGATCTTTACATATATCTCCAAAAGAAGCTGCTCCATCAATTACCCTCATATAAAATAATGGTTTCGCAGGAAAGATTACAACCAGAACAGAAACTCATCTAGTATCCCAAAGCAACCCCAAGCATCAAGGACTCGTTTCACCATTCTCATTCCTGTTGAAGTTTCAGGATTTTATAAAAATTAACTTAAACAAGAGCACACAAACAAAAACCAACTTGACCTTGTTACTCTGGTTATAGAGAACTTGAAAAGAAGCCATTTGGAAAAACCTATAACAGCACAATGAAGGCAGAGCAGATAGCCACACGGGAAAAATTTGCAGATCCATATCATTAGTAAACAATAGTTGGCTCACTTGTAACTTTGCTTGTTCTAATCAAATTGCAAAAGCAGAGGATCAGACAACTTCAAGAGAGAGAATGTGATATAAGAGCTTGAGGAAAAAATATGATTAACCAGATGTCACATCACCAAGACCCTGAAGAAACACTTCCCTCGTAAATGAGCCTTGGGACCCTGAAAAGATGAAAGGTAAAAACAAATTCAGCCAATCACTTCATATGTACAAAGAGAGAGTTAAAGAGGATGAAACCAAAGCAAACTAGATGTGTATAGAACCGAGTTTCACACTCCCCAGTCTGAGAAAGGAAAGATCATCATGTATCAGCAAAAGCATAAGTAAAAGACATCACTCAATGCCCAACAATTTTGAGCTTTGCTCTGCCTGCAAAATAGATGGCCTGACAATTTTTAAGGAACAAACCTAAACCAAGAGCATATACAAGAAAAAGCAGAGCAATCAGTAGTCACACATTACAAAGACCCAAAAGCAACAAATTCCCTTGTAAGTTTAAGACCCCCCAATAACACACAAAAGCTTAGAATCGATGTAAGAAGAAGAAGCGGAAAATTTTCATTTATATTGCACAAACAAAATTAAGGAAACAACATGTTTACAAGTTGGGAAAATAATCATCTTTGAAAACATCTGCAACGTGTAGAATAAAATGTAGAAAAAATAACCGCTGACAGGGGAAAATATATATGAGAGAATAAGATGTCAAGAAAAAATAATTGAAAACAAATTTCCATAAAAAATGCGCAAACCTAGTAACAGATTTTACCTCTACTTGAGAATTAGTTAGCATAGATGTAAAGCAAATTAAAGATGAATCTGGTGTTTTTCCAGTTGTGGAGAGCTGTTATCATTTGATTACACTTGAAAGCAAACCCTTGTAATTCTTGAAGACACCCTGAGAAACATACAGTCAAAGAGATCCTCCTTGATGCTGAAACAAATGGGTATTTTGTCGATGGTACAAATAGAAACAACAAGAATCAAAAGCAAGAGGAACACTCCTTGGTATATCTTGGCCGGAATTTATTTAATTAAGAAAAACAAAGAGATCCTATAAACATGCAAACAGAGTTTAGACTCCAGTTTTGTTAAGTAAAAAAAAGGTGATTAAAATGCAAAAACAATTTGAACAGACAATTTAACAACTCACAAGCTTCTGAACGCAAAATAAGAAAGGATGCTCAAGAAATATTTAGCAAGAAGATATATGGGGAAGAAGCAAAGAAAAACCTCAAGAACATGGCAAAGGAGACCTGCGGTAGTAAGACAAGCATACTAATAACCTCCCATTCATCATTTGAAGAGATACTGGAGAAACACAATGAAGCACAGCTCAGCTTCTTAACTCTTTATAAAAGTAAGAATTCTAGAGGACAAAACATTATTAAACACAAGGAAACAATGCAAGTTGCTGAAACATCAGCACATACCAAAAAACAGTCCACCTCATCAGATAACACATACCATATATCAATCCAATACTAGCATCACAATTAGAGAAAAACAATGACACCCTGAAAAAACATACAAACAGATCATAAGATAAAAAACACAACTTAAATGCAAAAAAACACATGATGGCATCACAATTAGCGATATAGTAAATAGCATATATAGTATTATGTCACCCTGTTCACTCTTTAACTTTAATTTATTTTAAGAGGAGATTGTATAAAGTCAAATACTACTTACTATTATTACCACCACCACCGCTTCTAGTAGTAACAGTAATAATAATAATAATAATTACAACAATAACAGAAGAACAACAAACATGAAGAGAGTGAAGAGAAGCTCTCAAAAGCATTAATCTGGCATACAACATCATCTAGAAATGCTTGATGAGATCCCACAAAAACACACAATTAAAGCAGACACTAGCTCTATATTTTTAGAATCAAAAGAAAAGTGGTGGTTTAAAATGTAGAAAAAGTAAGAAGACACCTGGCATACAACATCATCTAGAAAACAACTGCACAAAATAGAATAAAAATTAACGAGAATAAAGATTTTGATATACTCAAGGAAGAATGAGTCAAGGAAAAAAGAGTACAGAAAAATGTCCCCTATTGGTAAACCTTTGACTTGGAGCTGGTAAAACCTGCCTTGACCAGACTGCACCATGTTACAATTCCTTGTTAAATTTTTAGTCCATGCCCTAAAAGGGTTGATGAGATCCAACAAAAACACACAAATAAAACAAGGACACTTGTTCCATTAAACAAGTGGAAATTTAATACGACAAAAAAACAAGTTAAAGAGGGAAGTAGCGCAAAATTCTGAAACATCACATATAAAAGACTAGTGTTGCTTGAACTTCATATTCCTGGAATGACCCAAAATAAGGTTCTCAGACCAAACACTCAAAATGCAATGCAACATAAAAAAATACAAGAAAAGGCAAAAAAAAAAAAATAGGTAATGAATGAAACAATCCTTGGTTGATTCTAGTCTAAATATGCTCCTTTATTTATTTGGAGAGATCCTAGATGAGAAGGTACCACTAAACTAGCAGCACGAATAAACTTGGGACTGTCGCTCCATTAAACAAATGAAAGTGTTTAAAACAGCTATGCAGAAACTTAGCTCACAACAAATTTCAGAGGCTCAAGTGCAGAAGACTCCAATGTTCGAAGTCCTAACACAGATTGGAATTGAAACTTAAGACTAAACATCATATGCAGGTGAAAGGAAGGAGTAGGAAATATTATCAAGCACTCCCCAGCTTAAGCCTGCTTAGCATATATCCATAAACATAACATAAGGATCCTGAAAAAATACACAAGCAAGCAGCAGAACAGACACCAGTCACAATTTCACAGAATCAAGGATTAAAATGTAAAAATAGTCACAAAATACTTGTACATTGTTCTTGAAAACATCCTTGCCTACAAACCCCTACACCGAGTTAAAAGAGGACTGCAAGTTCAAAAGCCTCGTGTAAGAAAAAAGGAACTCATTATCAACTTCATTCTCCAGAAAAGACACGCATCTTAGTAAAAGACAAAAATACTAGCAAAGAAAGGAAAGGGTAGGTAATGAAATAAATACTCCCAGGTAATTGTAGTCCACATCCTTGCTAAATTGGAAGGATCCTAGAAAAAAGTTATGTCAGACACTGGCTAGAATGAAGAGGCAAAGTTTAACAAAAACTCATTTTGATCTAAAATGGAAAGGCATCATAAGAAACTATGTAATCTTCTTGAAAACACTATCAGCCACAATGTATCTCCACAAAATAAAACAAAAATTAAGCATGCAGGAGAATGGTCAGAAGCTGACATGGGGAAATAAGACAGATAAAAAAACAGCACTATCACTACTGGTGAAATTGATTTTAAGTTGGTAGAAAGTAACAAGAAGCCACTGCAAAAAGCACAAGCAAACTAAACCAAATTTCATCTAAACAGTTGATGATAGATTAGGGGAAGGGAACATGATTATTATCAAAAGCTAGTTATTTAACCCATCTAGATTATATAACACTTGGAAAAGGAATTAAAGATGGAATTAAAGATGAATTTAATCTCCGGTGGAAGTTTCAAAAAGCACCATTTAAGCGCTCTCATCGCACGAAGTCCATGACCCTGACAACAATACTTGTACAATGTTCTTGAAAACATCCTTGCCTACAAACCACTACACCAAGTTGAAAGAGGACTGCAAGCTCCAAAGCCTCATGTAAAGGGGAAAAAAAAAACTCATTATCAACTTCATTCTCCAGAAAAGACACAACTTACAGCAAGACAAAAATACCAGCACATAAAGGGAAGGGACATAAAAGGAAAGGGTAGGTAATGAAATAAACCATCCCAGATAACTGTAGTCAACATCCTCGATAAATTGGAGGGATCCTAGAAAAAAATTTCCAAGTAAAGGTCAGACACTAGTTATATTTTAGTAGAAAAGAACTCGTTGATTAGAATGAAAAGGTAAAGTTTAGCAAAAACTCGTTTTGATCTAAAATGGAAAGGCATCTTAAGAAACTGTGTAATCTTCTTGAAAACACTATCAGCCATAATGTATCTGCACAAAATAAAAGAAAATTAAGGAAGCAAGAGAATGGTCAGAAGCTGAAATGGGAAATAACAGAGATAAAAAACAGCACTATCACTATTGGTGAAGTTGATTTGAAGTTGGTAGAAAATAACAACAAGACACTGCAAAAAGCACAAGCAAACTAAACCAAATTTCATCTAAACAGTTGATGATAGATTAGGGGAAGGGAACATGATTATTATCAAAAGCTAGTTATTTAACCCGTATACATTATATAACACTTGGAAAAGGAATTAAAGATGAAATTAATCTCCAGTGGAAGGTTCAAAAGCACCATTTAAGCACTCTCATTGCACGAAGTCCATGACCCTGACAACAATACTTGTACAATGTTCTTGAAAACATCCTTGCCTACAAACCACTACACCAAGTTGAAAGAGGACTGCAAGCTCCAAAGCCTCATGTAAAGGGGGAAAAAAAAAACTAATTATCAACTTCATTCTCCAGAAAAGACACCCAATTTGCAGCAAGACAAAAATACCAGCACATAAAAGGAAAGGGTAGGTAATGAAATAAACCATCCCAGATAACTGTAGTCAACATCCTCGATAAATTGGAGGGATCCTAGAAAAAAATTTCCAAGTAAAGGTCAGACACTAGTTATATTTTAGTAGAAAAGAACTCGTTGATTAGAATGAAAAGGTAAAGTTTAGCAAAAACTCGTTTTGATCTAAAATGGAAAGGCATCTTAAGAAACTGTGTACTCTTGTTGAAAACACTATCAGCCATAATGTATCTGCACAAAATAAAAGAAAATTAAGGAAGCAAGAGAATGGTCAGAAGCTGAAATGGGAAATAACAGAGATCATCCATGACCCTGAAAACAATACTTGTACGTTGTTCTTGAAAACATCCTTGCCTACAAACCGCCACACCAGGTTAAAAGAGGACTGCAAGCTCCAAAGCCTCATGTAAGGGAAAAAAAAGAAACTCATTATCAACTTCATTCTCCAGAAAAGACACGCATCTTAGTAAAAGACAAAAATACTAGCAAAGAAAGGAAAGGGTAGGTAATGAAATAAATACTCCCAGGTAATTGTAGTCCACATGAAACTTAAGCAAGCAAAAGAATGCTCAGAAGCTGAAATGGGGAAATAAGAGAGAGAAAAAAACAGCACTATCACTTCTGATGAAGTTGATTTTAAGGTGGTAGAAAGTAACAAGAAGACACAGCAAAAAGCACAAGCAAACTAAACCAAATTTCATCTAAACAGTTGATGATAAAATAGGGGAAGAAGACATGATTATTATCAAAAGCTAGTTATTTAACCCGTATAAATTATATAACACTTGGAAAAGGAATTAAAGATGAATTTAATCTCCAGTGGAAGTTTCAAAAGCACCATTTAAGCGCTCTCATCGCACGAAGTCCATGACCCTGACAACAATACTTGTACAATGTTCTTGAAAACATCCTTGCCTACAAACCACTACACCAAGTTGAAAGAGGACTGCAAGCTCCAAAGCCTCATGTAAAGGGGGAAAAAAAAAACTAATTATCAACTTCATTCTCCAGAAAAGACACAACTTGCAGCAAGACAAAAATACCAGCACATAAAGGAAAGGGTAGGTAATGAAATAAACACTCCCAGATAACTGTAGTCCACATCCTCAATAAATTGGAGGGATCCTAGAAAAAAATTTCCAAGTAAAGGTCAGACACTAGTTATATTTTAGTAGAAAAGAACTCGTTGATTAGAATGAAAAGGTAAAGTTTAGCAAAAACTCGTTTTGATCTAAAATGGAAAGGCATCTTAAGAAACTGTGTACTCTTGTTGAAAACACTATCAGCCATAATGTATCTGCACAAAATAAAAGAAAATTAAGGAAGCAAGAGAATGGTCAGAAGCTGAAATGGGAAATAACAGAGATAAAAAACAGTGCTATCACTATTGGTGAAGTTGATTTGAAGCTGGTAGAAAGTAACAAGAAGACACTGTGCAAAAAGCACAAGCAAACTAAACCAAATTTCATCTAAACAGTTGATGATAGACTAGGGGAGTAAGACACGATTAATATCAAAAGCTAGCTATTTAACCCGTATAAATTATATAACACTTGGAAAAGGAATTAAAGATGGAATTAAAGATGAATTTAATCTCCGGTGGAAGTTTCAAAAAGCACCATTTAAGCGCTCTCATCGCACGAAGTCCATGACCCTGACAACAATACTTGTAAGCATTAAGCAAGCAGGAGAATGGTCAGAAGTTGAAATGGGGAAATAAGAGAGATAAAAAAACAGCACTATCACTATTGGTGAAGTTGATTTACACGATTAATATCAAAAGCTGGTTATTTAACCCGTATAGATTATATAAGACTTGGAAAAGGAATTAAAGATGAAATTATTCTCCAGTCGAAGTTTCAAAAGCACCCAATATGCCTCCATGAACCTGAAAACCAAAAGCTTACTATTAGCATTCTAGCATGTCCCAGTGCCACGCGAAAAAATACAAAAAAGATTAAATTGAAGGGTGATCGTAGTGTTATATGTTCCTTTCAAACTGAACAAATCCTGAAGAAAATGCAAGCAAAAAGCAGACACAAATTTAGCGATTGAAATGAGAAAACAAGGGAAAAGGCACTTTATCCATCACTGTTGAAAACTGATAATGAAAACAATAGTAAAGAAAAATGGATCCTCTTGGTGGAGCTTAGCAATTATAATTCCTTGTTTGCTTTCAAACAATTGCCTAAATACTTCATGATCCTTTTAAACAAGTAGAAATTTTATTAACAGACACAAAGGCAGAGATAAAGAATTACTTATAAGCACGCCAAATTTTGAAGCATCACATATAAAAGATGTTCATAGTTCCAACTTCATGCACCTGGAAAGACAGGAAGTTGGAATCTTAAATCATACACTCAAAGTTTCATAAAGGCAAAAAAATATAAGCAGATAAAGGAAAAGATGTAGGCAATGATTCCGGATCTAATTGTCATCCAAATATGGTTCTTGATACATTTTGGAAGGATCCTACAAAAACATGCAACTGAAGGTAAAATTCTAGTTACACAAGTAATCTGGAACTGTTGCTCTATTAAACAGATGAAAGCATTTAAAACAGCAAAGCAGAAACTTAGTTCACAGCAATCATGAGCATCAAGCAGAAGACTCAATTGTTAACTGGAATATCACAAACAAAATCTCACTACAGTACAATAAAGCACGTCCACCACTCCCTGACTTAAACTCGAGCTTATATGCATAACACAAACAAAAACTTACTACAACACAATAAGCACGTGGTATACTTGACACTCCCTGGCTATAAACTCGAGTTCATATGCATTCCTTGGCAACAAGAAGGATACTGGAAAAACAAACAAAGAAGCAGACAACAGTAATATTTTGTAGAGTCAAGAAAACCAGTGGATTGAAATGTAAAATAATATTACAAGACACTAAATGCATTTTTCTCAGAAAACTCCATCTAGGTGTCTGCCCGATATGGAATTAAAGTAACGAACATAAAAAATGTTGAGAGAGAGAGAGAGATTCCAAAGCAAGGCAAAAAAAGAATTTATAAGAAAAACAAGGTAAAGCAAGATGGCTCCTACTGATAAAGCTCAGACTTGAAGCTGATAGACCCAGTAACAAAAACCATTGCCTTGAGCAGACAGCACCGAGTTGCCCATGCCCTGGAAGGCTTACTATGATCCTAAAAGAATTAAAGAAGAAATTGTACACACAAATACAAATTTAAAATAGAAGTGCAAGTTGCAAAGAATCACCATTGTCCAACTATAAGCTTCTAGAAAAAAAAATCAATCAGAATGTTAGTTTGAACACTCAAATTTTATGCAAGGCAGAGGAAAGAGTACTCTGAAATAAACACCTCCAAGCAATCATAATCCACATATGTTCCTTGATAACTTGGAGGGATCCTGGAAAAACATGCAAGCAAACATCGGACACAAGTTATATTTTAGTATAAATTAAAACTTGTTGGCTAGAACGAAAAATACAAAGTTAAGAAACACTAATTTAAAATAAATGAAAGGGAAAAGTTAGGAAATACTTGGTGTTATCTTATTGAAAATATTATCTAGAAAAAATCTGCACAAAATAAAACAAAAATAAGCAAGCATAACAACTGTTGACACAGTTGTCTGAAGTTGAAAGTTATATGGAGAGAAATGAGTAAAGAAAACAGCCCCATCGCAAGTAAAATTTGAAGCAGCTTGGAGGTAACAAAAAACCCACTGCAAGAATCTCAAGCAAATCTTGGAAGAACACACAGTCAAACCCAAATGCTTATTTAACCAGTGTAGATTATACAGGACTCAAGAGAAACTTAAGTCTCCAATGCAAGTTTCAAATGCTTCATAGCATAACTCTCATTGCGCGAAGTCAATGACCCTGCAAACCAAAGCTTAAAAATAGCACTCTAGTATGTCCTAGTGCCATAAAAAATATAACAAGCATTGAATTTGAATGGTATGCAATGCATTTAACACTCCAGCATAATCATAGTCTTGTATGTTCCTCAAAAACTGAATGGATCCAGGAAAAACATGCAAAGAAAAAAGCCAAGACAAATGTAATGATTGAAATGAGAAGAAAGTTGAAGACACTTGATCTATTACTGTTGAAAAGTTATTGGTTCAATCAATGTCAAGTTAGTTCCAGAACTTTGCCTGCCAAACATTCATTAAAGCAAACAACATTTTGTTGTCCATTACAAGACAAATGGAGTCCTAGAAAACATTAAACAAATAGAATCTAAAACAAATGGTGAAAAATAAGAATGTTGACTGCAATACCAAAATAAAGTTAAGAATGTTGACTGCAATACCAAAATAAAGTTAAGAATGTTGACTGCAATACCAAAATAAAGTTAAGAATGTTGACTGCAATACCAAAATAAAGTTAAGAATGTTGACTGCAATACCAAAATAAAGTTAAGTGACACCGTGCCCTCCTGAAAGCAACATGATCAGTTCAAATGTAGGGTATATCAGCATTAAGCCAAGAAAAGCTTTATTTAATTCAGAACAATGCAATCTGAGGAGAAAGAAAGGAAATCAAACCAGCTAGGCTAGAATTTCTCATATGGCATGCACTCCAATCACTGTCAAGTAGGGTCCAAAAAGAATCTAACTTGTATGAGAATAGCAGAATATTCTTTCCAAAATAAATCTGACTTGTATGTTTTCTCAAATTGACAGCTTGATTAGCCTCGTACCATTAATTCCCTGTTAGTCAGGGATTCTCTTGAAACATCCAATGCCACTGTGCGAAACTAGGACAAAAAATTGATGAAAGCATATGAAAAACAGGGTAACGAAGATCAAGGACACAAAACTTGTCAGAACTGTTGAAACCATTCTCTATCACAAAAAAACATGGCAGAAACTTCTCCACGTCAAGATTCCAATAAAATATATATATCCAATTAATTTCAGTCCTGGAAGTAGTAGAATCAAAAGCAAATTCAACAAAACTGCCACACAAGGATCCAAACTCCATTCATAAGCAAAATGAACTAAAAATATTCATCATCACTAAAAAAACTTCATAGTTCAAGAAACCCTAAATTTCCTTCATCACTGAAAACCCTGGCCTTCACAGATTGCAGAAAGCGCACACAGACGACCAAAAGAAAGAATCGATGAAGAGAGAAGATGGCTGCCAAAAATATGAAACCAAAAGGGTAAAGAAAGACATAGTTCCATAATTTTGCAGTTGCATGTAATGGATTGTGAGGATGATGATCTCTATTTATAGCTTGAAGACTGGCCAGGGTTAATTTTTTTAAGTGATCTGAAACTAGACACTCATTGTTCGAACATCATGCTCTTGGAAAGACATAAATTAGAATCTTAAACCACACTCAAAATCTTGATGCAAGATAAAAGGAAAATACAAGCAAAGAAAGGAAAAGAAGTAGGTAATGCTTCCTGGGTTGATTGTAGTTCGAACATGGTCCTCGATAAATTTAAAAGATCCTAGAAAAGTGTCCAACTAAAGGTCAAACACTAACATAAATGATCTCAGCTAAAACTTAGGTCACTGCAATTTTGTTAGCACAAGTAAAAGACTCAAAAGCTCAAAGTCCATGCTCCTGGAATAACACAAACTCAAAACTTAAGACTAAAATATAATAACCAGGTAAAGCTGAACTCTAGGTCATGGTTTCCTTAACAAGCATGAATGGTCCTAGAAAAAAACACAAACAAGAAGATAAAAGTTACTGTTTTGTAAGACCAAGAACAAATTGTAGATTAAAATGTAAAAAGTCAATCACAAGACACTGGGTGCATTGTTCTTGAAAACATCATCATCTAGAAACATCTGCATAAAATGAAATAAAAATGAACATAGAAATATTTAACAAAACGAGAGAATATAAAAAATGGATCCTAGTGGTAAAGCTTAGACTTGAAGCTTGTAGAACCAGTAACAAGAAACCACCTCCTTTAAGCAGACTGCACCAAGTTATAATTCCTTGTTCACTTTTAGGGCATTCCCTATAATGCTTGATAGATCCCTAAGAGATCCCTAAAAGAACACACGATTACAATTCACACCCAATCTGTATTAAAGTAGTAGAACTGGGTAACGTACAAATATAGAAACTGAGTAAGTTACAAATACAAAATTAGAAAGAGGACAGCAGGTTCCAAAGCATCATGTAATAAAAAAAAAAACCATTGTTCAACTCCATGCTCCTGCAAAACACGTAATAGGAATCTTACCCTTAACAATCAAAATTTTAATGCAAGACAGAATAATACAAGTTGAGGAAGGACAAGGGTAGTTAATGGGATAAACACTCCCAAAAAATTGCAGCCCATATATGTTCCTTGATAAATTGCAACGTTCCTAGAAAAACAAGTGCGAGAAGGTTAGACACTAGTTATGTTTTGTTAAAGTAAACTTATTGACTAGAATGAAACATTTGTTTTGATATGTGATTGGAAACTGAATCAAAAAACCAAAGTAAGGAAGTAAATGGTGATCTTGTGGAAAACATAATCATCTAGAAAATATCTGCACAAAATAAAACAAATAAAAGAATTGTTGAGAGGGAGCTGTCAGCAGTTGAAAAGGATATAGAGATAAAAGAGCAAAGAAAACAGCCCTATTGTTGAAGATGGATATGAAGCTAGTAGAAGTCAACATAAAACCACTGACAAAAGGCCAAGAAAACAAGCAAAACAGGAGGCCAACATAAAATTATTGATCAAAATGAGAAATCAAAGTTAAAAGTGTTGAAAAGTGATCAGCTATAAAAAATCTTGGCGGATGAAAATGAAAAGATGCAGCCCTAGCAACACCAAGTTAATTCCGAAATATGCCAGCCCAAACATTCCTTACAGCACTGAAAAAGCATCTAGAATGAGTGGGATTGGGAATGAGAATTGTTGACTGCAATCCAAAATAACGTTCGGGGACACCATGCCCTGCTACAAGCATCATGACCGCATAAGTGTTGATTCTGAAATATGCCAGCCCGAACATTCCTTAAAGCACTGAAAAAGCAGACTTCATTTTCCATTCGAAAACTAAAGGGGTCCTGGGAGCCACAAAAGGACAGCATCTAAAATAAGTGGCAATTAATGAGAATTGTTGACTGCAATCGAGAATAAAGTTAGGGGACACCATGCCCTGCTATAGGCATCACGACCGCACAAATGAGAAGAGTGTGGCACCATTTTGCATAAAAGACTTGTTAAATTAATTCAGAATCACGCAAACTGAAGAGGAAGTAAAGTAACCAAATCAGCCAGACAATTTTCTCACATAACTCGCCCTCCAGCACTGCCACAGGTTCCAAAAAGATTGATTATAAAGTTAGGGGTCACCATGCCCTGTTATAAGCATCATGATCGCACAAATGATATGTGTGACACCATTTTGCAAAAAAGACTTGTTAAATTAATTCAGAATCACGCAAACTGGAGGAAGTAAAGGAACCAAACCAACCAGACAAAATTTTCTCACATAACTCGCCCTCCAGCACTGTCACAGGTTCCAAAAAGATTAATTATAAAGTTAGGGGTCACCATGCCCTGTTATAAGCATCGTGATCACACAAATGAGAAGAGTGACACCATTTTGCATAAAAGACTTGTTAAATTAATTCAGAATCACGCAAACTGAAGAGGAAGTAAAGGAGGCCAAATCAGCCAGACAAAATTTTCTCACATAACTCGCCCTCCAACACAGCCATAGGTTCCAAAAAGATTGATTATAAAGTTAGGGGTCACCATGCGCTGCTATAAGCATCATGATCACACAAATGAGAAGTGTGACTCCATTTTGCAAAAAAAATCTTGTTCAACTAATTCAGAATCACGCAAACTGAAGAGAAAGTAAAGGAACCAAACCAACCAGACAAAATTTCCTCACATAACTCGCCCTCCAGCACGGTCACAGGTTCCAAAAAGATTAATTATAAAGTCAGGAGTCACCATGCCCTGCTGTAAGCACCATGATCGCACAAATGAGAAGTGTTACACCATTTTGCAAAATAGTCTTGTTAAATTAATTCAGAATCATGCAAACTGGAGGAAGTAAAGGAACCAAACCAGCCAGACAAAATTTTCTCACATAAGTCGCCCTCCAGCACTGTCACAGGTTCCAAAAAGATTGATTATAAAGTTAGGGGTCCCCATGTCCTGCTATAAGCATCATGATCGCACAAATGAGAAGAGTGCGACACCATTTTGCAAAAAAGACTTGTTAAATTAATTCAGAATCGCGCAAACTGAAGAGGAAGTAACGAAACCAAACCACCCAGACTACATTTTCTCACATAACTCGCCCTCCAGCACTGTCACGTGTTCCAAAAAAAATCATGTAGAAAATAATTCTTTGAATCCATGTTTCCTCAAACATTAGCTTTAAGCTTCCAATATAGACCCGCACCAAATACCACAAAGCAGAGCTACAATAAATTGCTGAGAGGATGAATCCAACGCAAGGAAAGCCAAAATTCAAGGCAGGATCTTCTAAACGTCAAGATTACAACCAAATAAGCATATCCAAACGATTTCAATCCTGGAAGTGACAAGACCAACTGTCTATCATGCGAATTTGAGTAATTAATTCAAATTCATAGTAAAGATTTAAAGGCAAATCAAACACGAGGCACAGAAGATGATCCAAACTCCAAGCATATGCAACACGATCTAAAACTATTCAATATCAGGAGAAGATTTCGTAAATCGAAAAACGCTAATTGCGTAGAGCAGGAGAGCAAAATCATAATTTACGGATCGTATGACAAAACCTAGTTTCCCCTTATCGCTGAAACCCTGCATCCACAGATCGCTGAAACCATAGCATCCACGGATCGCTGAAACCCTAATTAGCAAAAATATCGAAAGAAGTAAACGAAGAATAAAGATACCAAGAACCTGAAGCCGGAAGAAATACCGAGAGAGAGACTAGATTAATGCCTCGCCGGATGGCTTGCAGGTAAAGAATTGAATGAATGGGTGCCTCTATTTATAGATCGAAGAGCTGGAGTTAGTGGCCAGGATTGATTTCTTAGTTAGAAGATATACAGCCAAGATTTATTCTTATATTATAAGAGAGGGTTAGGTGGACTGCCAGCTTGCTTTTGTTTTACGCGGTCCACTGACAACTATTTATAGTTTTTTTTTAATTTGTTATTTAAAATATTTTTTATTTAAAATATATTAAAATTATTTTTTATTATTTTAAAAAATATATTTTTAGTATAATATATTAAAATAATATAAAAAGTTAATTTTTAAAAAATATATAATTTGAGCCCCATTTCTATTTCTAAACACTGAAAGCGTTGTTTCTTAAAAATTCAATTTATTTTTTATTAAAAGTTAATTTGTTATAATTTGAATCATGTTAATTTTAAAATTAAATTTTAAAAAATAAAAAAATTTAATTTTAATTTATAAAATATTTTAAAAGTAACTTTAATCACTTTTAAAAAATATTTTAAAAGTAACTTTAATCACTTCTAAATAGACGGATAACTTAAACTATACACGGCTCAGCGTTTTACGCGTTCCCAGTAATAAAAGGATTAGAAAAATGTAGGGATTTTTTTATTATGGAGGGTCGGTTTATTTTATATGTAAAATAATTAGAAAAATACTATTTTGAGATCTTGTAGTTGAATTAGATAGATATTATAAGGCTAGCGTGAAACCCGACTTGCCTTTTTATCCAACTCGACACCCTTTCTGATATTGTTCTGCTCTTCGGGGACCACCCCTCTTTCTTTATAATTAGTGATGAAAATTGAGAGTCTCTGCACACAATAAAAACGAATGGTGGGTGGTGCGCGCATTATCGTGGGCTTGTATTGTTTATTCATTAAAATATTTAGACGTTGCAGATATGTTTCAAAAGAAGGTGACAAATTCAATAATAGAGGTTACAGTGACTTTATAAAAAATATATATTATCAACTTGGAATGAAAAATAAAATTATAGATAAAAAACTTTATAAAAAAATCAAGAAAAAAACTAAAAAATTTTAAAAGTAAGATCAAATTGAAAATATCAGTGCATTATAAAACTTTGAGCATGCAGAATTTTTCAAGATGTTTTCTTATATTAAAATATATATATATTAAAAAATTTATGAACACATCACGTCAAATAAATCAGAAATTATTTTTATAAATAAAATTTTAAAAAAAAATCATGAATGATAAATAAAAAATATAATTAAAAAGTAAAAATTTAATGTAAATCAAGATATTTAATATTGCAATACAGTATCTAATAAATCTATTTATTAGAATTGATTTATAATAAAAATCAATACACATAAATTTTATTGAATAAAAACATATTATACAATAATACATGTGTTAAAAGTAATTTAAAAATACATATTAAATCTATACAAGTTTTATATATATTTAAAAAAATTAATATGAATTATACTAACCTTCAAAAAAAGCTAAAACACGTATGTAATTGATCAATAATAACTATTTTAAAAAAACTAAACAAGATCATAAAAATTTATAGAGAGTAGATATTAATCAAAGTATATATTTACAAATTATTACACAGAGACATAAAAAAAAGATATTGGTAAGAAAAAATCATTAAAAAAAAATATACAGGGTCACCTGTTAAATGATAAAAAACATAGAGAATTGAAGCAAATTAAATAAACAATAAGATTAAATAAAAACTTTATATTAAATTATAAAATTAAAAAAATATGAACAAAAAATCCCAAAATATTAAAAACCACGTACTAAAAAATGAAAATAAAATAAAAAAGAGACAAAAACAATACTCTATCAATTTGTGTTAATTTGTGTTGAAAAATAAAATTACTAGTAATTAAATTTTTTTATAAAATAATTAAAAAAAAACTAAGAAATTTTAAGAATAAGATCAAATTAAAAACACCAATACATTATAAAACTTTAAACATGTGGAATTTTCCAACATGTTTTATTACATTTTAAAAAATAGTAAACATACAAAAAAATTCAAATAATCATTTTGTAAGTAAAACTTGTAAAAAAGTCATGATAAATAAAAATATAATTTAAAAAATTAAAAAATTATTATAGATTAATATATTTAATATTACAATACATGTCATGTGTTCATTCAATCTATCTATTAAAATTTATTTATAATAAAAATCAATACATGCATATATACATATATATATATATATATATAACATTACACATGAATTACACCAACCATCAAAAAAACCACAGCCCAGGATAATTAATCAATAAAAATTGATAGAGAATAGATATTAATCAAAACATATATTTAGAAATTATTCTACAAAAGACATACAGAAAAAAATATTCATAAAAAAATTATTTACAAAAAAGAAATTTAAATGATAAATAAAAGACTTGAAACATATTAATTTAACTCAAAACTAAAGAATAAAATTAAATAAAAATTCTATATTATATTATGAAATTTCAAAGAATAAAAATTCTATATTATATTATGAAATTAAAACAAAAAAATCTAAAAACCCAAAAAAAATTAAAAACCACATATTAAACAATGAAAATAAAAGAAAGGGCAAAAAAGCTGTATTACATAATAAAAAATATAAAAACTGATTTATCGTTAATCCAATATCGAATCAAGTGATATAAATTAAATAAAACTCATTATTAAATAAGTTAAAAAAACAGATAAAAAACATAAAATAAAAAAAAAACATATTAAATGATGAAAATGAACAGAAAAACTAAAAACATGAAAAACAGAACGAGGGATAAAATGGCCAATAAAAAAAATCACTTGCATATTAAAAAAAAAAATTCAAAGTTTCTGACCCGAGAGAGGCTGGCACATCTATTTTTTTTTTTTTTTACAAGTGACGTATGACATGTTATTTGTTTTTATTTAAAAACAAATCATGAAGGACACACTGTTTATGACCTGTGACGTACGACATGTTATTTGTTTTTATTTAAAAAAAAATCATGAAGGACACACTGTTTATGACCTAAAATGATTTAATTGCTTTAAATAAGATTTGAACACGTAGCCTCAATCTCAACTTAAGCATCTAGCATGCCATCCTCCCCTTCCTCTCTTGAAAAAAATAAAAATAAAAATATATGAACGACACATCATTTGCTGCCTCAAGGGTTCAACTTCCTTGATTGGGATCTGTACCTGTGACCCTGACCCAAGCCCCGTGTGATACAACGAACAAGCCACGACATTCACTAACCAAACGCTCAACATAATATATCATGTTAGCTCACTGTTTATACATGCCATCCATTTTCCCTTTGAAAAAAAAAAAATTGAACGACAAGTCACATGTTATCTAAATGGATTTAATTATCCTGAATGAGATTATACGGATATATTAATATATATACAAATAAGTTCAAGCTTAAGAAATAGCTGAATCCAACAAAATACTTGTAAAAATTAATTTTAAATTAACTGGACCGAATGTTATTTTGAATTTTTTAGATAATTTTTGCATTAGATTTTTTTTAAATTATGCTTGGTTTTATTCTGATTTTAGATTTTAGAATATTATTTTAAAACTAAAAACCAAACTAAATGGAACCAAATCTAAAAACTCACTATAAATTAAAAACATATTATAAACTAAAAATATATGAAATTAAATCATATAAAAAATAATCCAAGTAAACAGATTATAAATTAAACTAAACTTTTTTTATTTTAAAAAAATATAAAATTGAACCAAGCTAAGCGGTATGATTCTCCCTTCTGGTTCGGCTCGGCTTCACCGATCTGTTAGGAATCATAGAAGGATACTGCAAGGAAGTGAGCATCATGGGCTTGGATTTATTGATACCCGAGATCCTCGCCTATTCTAATCTCGGGAGGGCCTTATAAGCAAGCCCCATTATCAAAGTCAACGATATGCCCTGCTCTATCGCTCACCCTGTTTGACAGTAGACTGTAGCAGTGAACTTCCATATCCGGCTCCTTGCTGTTCTAATAATTTATTAAAATATCTTACCTGTTGATTTTATATCAATTTAACCCTAGCCACTCATCTAATCAAAGCTAATAAAGAATTGAGATTAAAGGGTTTGCTCTCTCTGTGATCTCAGAAGGATTAAAGGGTTTGCTCTCTTTGATCTCAAATTCGAGTTCTTAGTTGCTTATATGATAGTCACTGAAGGCTTACATGATCGTTAACTTATGGTCGTTAACTTCAGAACCCATAAGATTAGTTAAGATTAATCGTGGTGCGCGCAAACTGACCCGGACACCCGCGTTAATCTAAAAAAAAAAAAAAAGTAATAAAGAGACGAGACCAAAGATGTATCTTGAAGCTAAGTTGCAGTGACAAGTCATAAAAGATGTTTTAAAAAAAGCTAGCAAGCTCAAACTCTGATATAAATGGTGTTTGCATCTGCCATCGGACAGGAGCTCAAAGTGACCTCTCTTTTTCCGTCTGGGTGATCAACCTTTTTCAGGTGTGCTTTTCCTCTATAAACTTTTGATGAATGTAAGCATCGTGTTTATTTTCATTTGCCCATTTCCTCTCCTGTCATTGTGCCTGAAGCAGTTATATTTCTCCACTGCAGATGCAGCATCAACTTGGTACTAATTCATGGTAATGCAAGTTGATTTCCTCAACGAAGCAACTGCTGGTATAATTCACAACTATTCTGGCAAATTCTTTTCCCGTATCAAACTCAGCCTTCAATGAAAAAGCACGAGCATCTCTAACCAAAAACAAGATGAACAATTCACGGTTCAACAAACCTCCAAATGAAAAACAAAATCACTAAAAGTAAATTCCTTCTGCTCACCCAAAAATAATATTGTATCTGATGCTGAAATACATGGAATTTTTTTTAACAGACCAAGCTACAAGAACATGTACAAACAAAGGCAGATAAGCGGAGACTTGAGCAATAATTTCCAACCTTAACGTTTGGAAAATTGTGGGGCCTTGCGAGCTTTCTTGAGACCAACCTTCTTCCTCTCAACTATTCTCGAGTCTCTGGTTAGAAGCCCTTCCCTCTTCAAAGGGATTCTGTGGTCCTGACTCACCTTTAGCAATGCGCGGGCAACACCAAGGGAGATTGCTTGAGCCTGACCAGCGAGGCCACCTCCATGAGCTTTGACAAACACGTCATAGCTGCTCTCATACCCCAAAGTTACCAGTGGGACTTTCACATATTGAAGCCACAATGGATTGCCTTGAAGATATTCCTATACAGTGATAGAAAGCCCCATCACAAAGGATGCATAACATGCAGGGGAAAGAAAAACGAATGCAAAAGAGTAGCATGATCACAGCAATAGTCAGAACTCAAGGGCCAGATTATGGCATAACATGTACATGCTATGCAACAGGGCTGCAATGCAGATATAAATTGCCATCCTCATTTGTGGACTTGGAACTTTGGTATCTATTGTAGCACTTGGAATTGGGATGAACGCATGACAAATGAACTTCTGCTCATTGAAGTATGTACTCATTCAAAAAATCTACTGCTTTGATTTAACTCACAAGTCCTTGGATTTGCAGTAGGTCCAGGTTTTTACTACTGACAACACTTTTTCCATCCAAAAAAAGTATTCAACTTCCCTAAACCTGCTTCAAGGGGACTGGAACTAGATCATCGGCAAAGTATCTCAAGAAAGGTGAAAACTGTACTGGAACAAGGACCAGTACAGTTGCAATGAGCAATAACTATATCAATCATAATCTTAATTCAGTTTGTATTTCTCTCAAATGTTTGTATATTGGAGAATTGACAAGTATCAAACACACTCATTACTCATAAAACAGCTTGCTGTACCATGTAAATTTTCCACGTAACAAGCTTTCAGGTAAAAAAAATGGATATTTACTGATAAAATCCTGAAAACTTGCTTCAGTGCGGCTGCAAACACTAGAGAAGCATGGAATAAAATGAGAATATAAAGAACAATCCAGCAACCAAAAAGCCACAGCTCCCAGAAAGTTTAATAGCTTATAAGTTGATAAAATTGAGATAAAATCATTAAATGATTAAAACCCATATTTTTAAAACAATCATATTGCAAGAAAATTGAGAGAATGTAAAAGAGATGGAGAATTGGCATTGTCATGGACCTTGGCATCACGGTAATTGATGATAACCTTGCCAGTGCCTTCCTGAAGAACAACACGCGCAATAGCGCATTTACGGCGGCCAGTGCCATGAATAGGTTGAGCGGCGAAACCACCAGGGAGTCTCGATTTCACTAATTTCTTGAGGTCCGTGGTGGTGGTGGTGATTTCAGGCGAGGAAACGGTGGCGGAAACACGGAGAGTAAGGGGTTGTTTGGAGGGGTGGGAGAGTGAGAAAGAAAGAGAATTCGACCGGGAAAATGAGAGGGTGTTTGGTTTCTGGGAAATTTGAGAGGAAAATGAGAGTGAAGAGAGTGATGTTGTGAGAGAGGCGATTGAGATTGCCATTTTCCCGGTTTCAAACTTCCATTAGCCAAAGGGAAAGGTTTTAGCGATGGCTTCTTGAGAGGGTGAAGATGGACGTTGAGCGAGGGGATAATGTTTCTTGAATTGACGATAGTACCCATTTATTATTTTTTCTTAACCCTTTTTACTTCTTTTCAATAACAACAATAATGTTTTTTCAAAAAAAAAAAAACAATAATAATGTTTTGATTATCTTTTTAAAAAAACAATAATAATGTTTTGATTATCTAATTTATTTATTTTTTCACAATCAATGAAACTATATTCAATTTGAGTTTTTATTATTATGTGTCATTATCCAATTAAACAAACAATTTATATGATTAATAAAACAAAAATAATTAAATATGATATATTTATTTAATCAAATACTTTTTTATCGCATTCTCATGTTGAATTTAATTGAATTAAGAGCCATCCCTTGACTTCCTTTAATTGAGTGTTTATGAGTATATTTTAATTAAAAAGAATTAAATTAATATATGTTTTATTTTTTAAATAATTTTAACTGATATACCGATATAAAAAAATAAATAAAAATTTGAGACGGATGGCCTTTGCTAGGAGAGTAGATGGAGATCAACCAAAGCAAATGAAAGAGTGTTCAATCAATTCCAATCATGCAATTCAATTTCACTATAAAAGAATCAAGGTGGACGAGTTTCAACATAAAAAGGAGACAACACACGGCTAATTCTATCAAAAGAGACCATGTAAGCTTAAATTTAGAAGTAAAAAGGTATGTTCTTTGGACATCGTGATCTCCAATACCACCATTGATGCACAGGAGGAGATGCTCGTTAAGCTGAAAAGAAAATATTAGCACAAAACAATTTCACCCCGACTGCTAAACATAAAAACACTGCAAGACAGTTAAAGAGCTCGCACAACCAACCATAAAATGGCAGCAAAAACCAGAAGCTAAGTCATGCACGCAAGCACATGATTTCAGATTAATAGATAATAACAACTTGCTAATTGTAACAGGCCAGTGTTTTAATCAAAACGTAAATGGATGGTGCAGACACAGAAAAGGTTTATTTTCTATTTACATTTAGATGGGAAGTATTTTTCAGTAACAGTGCCTGCCCAACTCCCACAGTTCATAGTTATGGGTCCAGATAAATGACTTCTGCTTGGATTGAGGCTCGCCGAAAGCGCAGCAATTCTTTTACCAATTCCCATCCCCCCTCGTTGGAAGCAGGCTTAACAGTCATCTGCTCAAGCACAGGAGAGTTTGAAAGCAGAAACTTAATGCAATCAAGTTCAGATCTGATGCCAGAGATGCCAACCATTTTCACTAGCCGCAGGTGGCCAAATAGGCACTTCCATTGGTCATCTCCCCAGAAACCAGTTCGTGGTTCCACATCAGATTGTTCCTCTGGGCGACCCTACATGGATGCTAGATATCAGAAACTTGTAGTTTCCCCATGCAGTGGCATCGGATATAAACTGATCGGACAATTTCTTTTTTTTAAAAAAATCACGATGCAACCAACATAAAATTTCACATAAGCACATAAGAGGTCACTTACCAACAGCTCTATTTCTTGCAAATTGGGGCAGCTTCTCAAGATGCACAAGGCAGCGGAATTCTCTTCAAAGTCATTGAAGTTTATGCGTATAGAAATGTAGTTCAAATCCATGCATGGTTTTGGCAACCTGCTTGGAACTTTGCTGATAGCCAAATACTGGAGGACAGAAGAGAAACAAAATGATGGAATAACCTGGAAATCTTATAATAAGGTGGCGTTTTTCCACTGACCCTTACAAAAAAAAAAAAAAAAAAAAAAAACTAAATTATCAAATCTTAATATTACGACCATTGAAAACAAAGGCACAAATTGATGCAGTTCAAAAACAATTAAATTACATTAGATGCTCTTTATAATTTCAAGGGAGACTGATGTACTAAAAATAAGATTGGTGGAGAAATTACCTTAATAAAGTAACTCTGAATCTCAAGTCTTCGAAGATGGGGCAGATTAACAAAAAACCTGAGCAATTTACTAGAACTCCCATGAGACACATGCCGGTCATTTTTGACATTCGCATACAATCCAATGGAAACCAGAGTCAACAGAGAAGTATTCTCGAAACTAACATCATCGAAAATACCTCCAATGTCAAAAAATTGAAGATTGGGAGCATTGATTTTAAGATGAGTAAAGCCATCGAAGTTCATCAACGTCAACCTCTCAAGCAGAGCACAGCTAGAAATTAGATTCTCAAACACCTCCTGTGCCAGGGTAACGTGCTGAAGGTCAAGGCTCTTCAAATTCCGGAATCCTTTGAAAGCCGAAGGAGGTTTCAGCAAACAATTAAATAATTCCAGATGAGTCAAGTTCACAAACGAGAACAAACAAGAAGGCAACTTATAACGCTGCCCTTTCCATATCTCAAGTACAAATTCCTTGGTAGAACCTCTAGATAAATGAAGAATCCATCGATCAATATCACTAACACCTAAGAGGTCACGGTGAGATAGTTTGAACTTGTAAATTGGACCATTGTGAAGTAAAAGCACACTATCGATAATATGGACAAGCTTATTCTTGACTATAGTTTGATCCTGTGAAGTTATCGAGGCGCATTGAGTATCAAACACAAGATGAGGAATTTGAGACCATTTGTACCTCCACTTTCTTGATAAAGCACTAGTTCTCACTGCATCTCTAATTGGCAAAACTGATAAAATCTGGTCTAAAACATGCCCAGGCAAGCTGCTAATTCGGTCCAGCTCTGTGTCCATTTCACATGGGAAGTGGGGTGGTTCTCTTTGCTTCTAATTTATTAACAAGAAAGAAACAAATTCAGCAATCAGGTATCGAGGCACAGTGAACGTTAACAAGAGTTCAACAGGAGCAACTTACAACAATACTAATGTTAAGCTAGATTTTCTCAAGGACAATTCCAAACCAACAAAATCTGATTCACCAACGAAAGCAAGACGAGAGCTAAACTGGGTATTTTAGGGTTTAAAATCTTGAAGGCAAAATGATTGAAAATGCAATAAAGAAGAGAATTTGTGTGCTTTACGGTATGGAATAGAACTGGTTGATGTTGCACGGTAACTGAATGGAATTATTTTGATTACTTACCTGGAACAGCAGCAATTTCAGTGGAACTGGACAAAGAGAGCGAAGGCGCAACAGCGCCGAGCTCTTCGTGAAATCCTCTAACGTGGAAAATCCTCATGATTCGTTGTCACTGGACAGTTTTAACTTGGAAAAAAGTGAAAAGGCAGAGGCTATTGGCAATATAGACATTCCGTTCGAAATTTCTACCTCCTACCTAAGAAGTAACTAATAATATTAATTACTATCTAGATATATTATTCTAAAGGGAAAAAAAATACTAGATATAATCTTTACATGCCCCGTAAAATTTCTCTTACCCTACCTCTTGTTTTTAATAGTTATCAAATTCAGAACTATTTTATAGGTATTTCGGGTGGGTTTGTTTTTTAATTTATTTCAGTATTGATGATTAAACAGGTCGATAGGTAACTTGATTAATTTAGTGAGGTTCACTCTCATAAATTTTAACTAATTTATTAAAATCCCAGTAGCATTAAATAGGAGTTTACTCCCTTCAGGATTTCAAATTTGAATCCCAATAGCATTAAATCTTTTGAGGCCATGGATTACGGGACTTGGATCTTGTTTGTTATTTTTTTATATTTTAAAAATATTTTTGAAAAAATTTTAATTTTTAATTTTTTAAAATTAATTTTTTATATTTTAAAATTATTATGATATACTAGTATCAAAAATAATTTTTTAAAAATAAAAAAAAATATTATTTTACTATATTTTAAAATAAAAAATATTTCAAAAAAATAATACAACTACACTTCCAAACCTTTTAACAATGTATAAAAAACTGACTTTGAGCTGTAGAAACTTAGTTTTTTACTTGCAAACGAGCTCAAATACTTTACATTTAAATAATAATAATAATAATAATAATAATAATAATAATAACAGCAACTCACTAACGTACATGTTGACCCAGTCAACTCACAAGTAATAATTGTAGAAAGAAGAAAAATAGAAAAGGTCGTGCCCGTAAACACAAATGGTGTGCTAATAGCAACTCCAGAACAAAAAGCATTCCAATGTCGGGATATGAAAACGGGTCGGGCTGGGTGAAAGCCAGGTGTCCTAAACCGAACTTGTCGACCCAATGGACAAATACCCAGTGTAGACAAAGCAACAACATCTACATCTAACCAGATGCCATGAGCATTTTTCTTTTTGGGCTTTTAATATTGTATGCCGTTTAATACAATGGAAGCCCATTTCTCACTGAAGATGCCCAGGCAGCTCATTGGGCTCGAGTAAATAACTAGAATAAACCCATCCAGACCAATCTTCACGGATCTCGGTCCTTACTCCAAGAGACTTGCCGAGCACGAAGGGCTACTTGTATGTCATGGCTCTCTGGTGCTTGAAAAGACACGTTCAAACCCCAGACTTTTAGGCCGAGGGGGGGATGTGAAAAGGAAGTTACGTATAAGCTTCCATGTCTGAACATTACAAAGAAAACAAGAGAACTTTGAGGTGGTTGTTTAATGCATTGTTTGCCTGTTTTGATTTCGATTCGGCTAATAAGTTTAAAACTATTTTGAATCTCTGGTCTTTAGGAAATCAGTCCTTAACCAAATTTTATTCCAATTCTCTTGCCTATAAAGCTATCCATCCAAGTATGCATCACAGTGACCGGGTGGATTGATACGAGATATTTATGATCTTGAACCTGATTGGAATAAATTTTTAATTTAAACTAAAAAAATATTGTTTTAATTAAATTTGGTTAAGCTAGTATGCGAGTTTGTGATCTAATTAACCTAATTAAACACCAATTTAGCCATGAACACAAGTTAACATTAATAATTTTTTTAAAAATAAAATAATATGAATTTGATAAAAATATATATCAAATGTAAATTGATTTGGCAACCCATGAATTGAACTCAAAACCTAGTGGTTCCAGCCTTTTTCTTAACTCATACCCATAATTAAGAATGACAATTGTCCTACAATCACACAATTATATGCACCCATTAAGGTCTGTTTATTTGTCAAAAAAATAGTTTTTTAAAATTATTTTATAGAAAATAGACTATCCTAACAATGTTATAAAAATAAGTTGAAAAATATTTTTTAATATTTAGTCATATTATAAAAATAAATTAAAAAAATACTTATTAATAATTTATTTTTTTTTATTTAAGTTTATTATAGAAACGAGGACTAAATATGAAATATAAAAAGTTAAGGAAGATGAAATTAAAAAGGAGTTATTATTTTATAATTTATTTTAAATAAAACAAATAATAATCAAAATAATATATATTAAATTTGAAGAAAAAACAAATTGGAAAGCTACTTTAAAAATTCAAAAAGCCAAGTAAAAAAAACAAGAGGTAAGAAAAAAAAAGAAAAAAATAAAAAATTATTAACACCAAATTAAAAATTGGCATACTATATACTCGTTACCTAAAACAAAGTTGTAAAGATGCATAATTCTAACCACATTAAAAAATATCACTTTCAAACACTGTATGCGGTCTAAACATGATGACAAATCTAAGCACGCCGGTAAGTCAAATATACATACCCAATCATTTTTTATTTTTTAAATTATATTTAATATTTATTAAAATAACAAATTATCTAAAAATAAAAAAATATATGAAAAAGTCCATAAACCCCGGTTTAACAATTTTTTATTTAAAAAATAATTTAGTTATTTCATTTTTTTTGGTTAAACATCAGCAAGTGTTTCCTGGAATTGAGATAAGTATTTTCTTTGACTGAAAAACATACGATCAGCTTATAAGAAAGTTTGAATAGTATTTTCCATAAAACAAACGTCACCTAATATTGTGACAGGTGTCCTGGAAAACACCCTTCCAGTCACGAGATGCTTCCTCTTTCTTGAAAAAAGAAATAGAAATAGAAAAAGAAAAAGAAAAAGAAAAAGAAAAAAGATAAACTGAAAACCAAACAGACACGTCTTAATTTCGACTCTCCTATCAATCCCTGTTTACATACAATTAGTCCTCGCCTTCATTATTAAGCAACCATTCCAACTCAGCCATGTCCTCATTTTGTTCTTCATTCTTAAGCCAATAAGCCACATAATTTGTGGTTCTCGAGTCAACTACGAACCATCGTTCACTCTCTCTCTTGAATTCAAGATATTTAGATAATCCAACTTGGCACCCAGAACGCCATCTCCACCTATCTGCTTCGATGGTCGTCAGTAGTAACAGAGGCTGCCACCATTATCGCAAGCTTGCGAGACACCCAACCATGCGAACAACCATTACATCCACCACGGCGAACTCAACCTCCACGTGCATTCTTAGACCCTGTTAATTTCTGTTGTGCGATTCGGTGCAGTGCAGTCTGCATTTTACTCAAACAATAAATTTAGAAGGGTTTGGTTAATTATCGCTCATCATATTTTTTTACATGCACTCTTTTAAAAATCATTTCATTTAAAAAACCTAGAATTTATATATTTTTAAACGACTTTAGAAAAAACTATTACAATATTAAACACCCGTTTTTTTATTTTATTTTTATCGAAACCTTATCATAACAATATTGTTGACATGTTTGGCAATCTCCCATCCACACGTTTTCCCATCTAAAGTCGAGCTCAAACACGACAAATCATGGAAATTCATATGCTTCTACAACTTCTCTTTTTCGAATTAAAGACAAAATCTTGAACGAGCTCCTTCCCTAGCTAGCAACTACAAAGATGGATCCCTATATATATGGCAATAAATGGGAAAGCTTTCCAGATTCAAGACATTTTATCGAGTGTGTTTGCTCGTTTGACATGCACTTGAGAATTAAGTAGTTCCTTTGCTCCAAGATCTTTTAATCTCTCCTGTTCATCAACGTTCACTAGATTTGCTAGTAGCTAGCTACATGATTGTAGAGGATGTACGTGGACCAAGGGGTAAACAAGATGTGGTCCTTTTTAAGATAAAAGTGGCTTCCAAAGTCAATAATGCCTCGCTAACCTAACACTGTGAGAAATTTGTGATAACATAAGAGAGACTTTCCGAAGATATGAGATGCTTGACTTCTTATAATTTTTCCAACTTCACCGCCAAAAGGCCTAAATCTCTCCACTTATATGTAACTAGTTCTCATTTAACGTATAGTCAAATGAGCTAGCAAATTGTCCCTCTCTCCATCTACCTAGCTCCATCAAAAAATTTCTGCGTTCTGTCCAGGCACTGCATGGACTTTACAACTTAGGAACAGCTAGTTGCCTCTGTAGGCTGGTGGATCAAGAGAAAGAAAGAAATGGGAAATTGGAACACGACTTGTGCTTGTAAGAGGTATGCATCAAGCTCTATCGGCTTCATTTTTTCTTCCTCGTATAGTACTTAAAGGAGTACTGATCATTCCTCGGTTTGTTCACGCTTATATACATATATGTAATCTGTATTTAATAGATCTAAGTTGATGAGGAAGCAAATGGATTCCATGAATCATAATACTCATCATGAAGGAATAAGGACTGTAAAGGTGAACAAGGTCTGCGACTTCTCTGGAAACTCAGACCTTTGCATTTGCGCAGTGACCTGGAACATGAATGGACAGGTAAACCCCTCGCGCCTGAGAAAAAATGACTAGGCTGCTCTCTCCCTCTCTCTCTCTCTCTCACACACACACACTGTCTGTTAATTTTCGTAATTAATATGCTCGTTGATAACTCTCCATGATCTATTCGTATTGCTTTAGGTGGTTTATGAAGACTTGGTGGAGCTGGTTGGGAGCAACTCCAAGTCTGATCTACTGGTGGTAGGTTTGCAAGAGGTGCCTCGGAAAAACATCGCACGGTTATTGGAAACAGCACTTGTGGATACTCATGTGTAAGCCAACCACCCAGCTTTTCCATTTTTTTTTCTGCCAAACGCTTCTTAATTTTGTTCTCCTGAGCATCTCTTGCCTCGAGAAGCAGGAAACCGTGCACCGTGGATACAGTGGATCAAGACCATAATTATAGATATGAAGTGTCCTTTGGAATGATAAAGCCATATAAATTTCTATGGCTTCCGATTTTTCTGAATTTTTGTGATAGCTTCTGGCCATGGACATGCTTTTAATTTTCTTTTTTACATGTGTCGTCACCATCTGCATGAACAAACTCAATATAACCAGTCGATTTACAGTGGCCCATTACTAGCCCAATATTGTATAGGGATGGGTCCAAAAACTATCTGTTTCATGGCATCCATGTCTTGGGTCAGTGGTGTTTGATCAAAGCCTGTCAAATGGATTGCAAATCCAAAATCTATCAACGTCCCCACAAATAATTCTAAGTGCCCGGCAAGTCTGGTCAGCCAACTAGTGATTTATAGATTTAGTTGTGGTCTGAATTTTAAATTAAATTAAATGGAAGTTCAATCTGTTACTAACAAGTAAATTCAGATTGAAACCCAGTTTGAATTTTTTATTTTTTAAAATAATATTGTTTAACTTTTTTTAAATCTTGAAATAATATTATTTTAGATTAACTTATTTAATCTATTCAAATCGAATCTTTCGCTAGACTCTTGTTAGATTGTTAATTTATTGATAATGACATTTATATGGTCACGCCAAAATCTATAATATATTATATGGTGTAAGGAGATACTTATTGTTAGAATAAGATAGAAAAAATTAATAATAATGTTTTATGTATACGAGAAAAGCCACTATAGTAGTTTATTAGATGTTCAAACTATTGGAAGCACTATACTTTGATGAATCTTTAATTTTTCTCCACCATCATCGTTAATAATTTTCTATGAAACTATTTGCACTGAGAAAAAAACTTTACTTTTAAATGAAGCCTGCTAGGAGAGGCGATCATGCAATCTCTTCAGCTCTATGTATTTGGACCTCGGAACTCGGGGCTTTCCATCAAAGGTGAGTTTAATTTAATTTCCAAGGTTGAAATTACCTCTATATATATATATATATATATTTTGTATCTTGACGCCCTTGGTTCAGAATTGAAGGTGGATAAGCATTCTGTTGGTGGGTGTGGAGGATTAATTAGGAGAAAGAAAGGAGCTGTGGCCATCCGCATGAGCTACAATGGCATCCAAATGATGTTCATCTCTTGCCATCTTTCTGGTACGAGCCCGATTTCATTCATGAGTTCCTCATCTGAATTTATGTCAATCCCACTACACGCATGGGCAGAGCCCTCTGCTTAAATTTTTTCCTTTGTGATCCCTTGAAAATGCCTACATATATTTCATTTCTCTTCTTACAAATTATAAATTACACTGCAAGGAAGAATCTAAAACTAAACATGGTTTTAACAAAACCCCATTTTACCGAAAAAAAATCTAAGTTATTTTTGAAAATTTTGTGTGATTTTTTACACTTTTGTCCTTTAAATTATAATTTCGTATAAAACGATCAATGCCCCCAAATAATGAGAGAGGACAATTCATTTTTTTTGGATTTCTAGGATATATAACAACATGTTTTAAGATTCAAAATGGATTTCTGTTTTCATATCTTTAGGATGATTCCTAAAGTATTTCTTGGTGAAAACAGTGTCAAAATTATTGATTTTTGCATTCTTCCAATAATTAGTTCTTTTAATTAGATTTTATTAGGCGATAGAGGTAATTAATTGCATTTTTTTTCATTTATCATCTCATGACATATATTTAAACTTAAAAATAAAAACACATATGATATTAAATACTAAAAAACAATATTTAATTAAAAAACACACAATTAATGTTTATTAATTTATTTTAATTTTATTGACTTGAAATTTATGGCTTGTAATTAATTACTGTTGATATTTGAACTATGCCAATCGATGATCTATAAACAGTCTGGATTGTTGTAATATATGCAGCTCATGCTCGTAACGTGGAAGAGAGGAATTCACAATGCAGACACATATCACACAACCTTTTCTCAAAGCATATGAATCCTTACAGCAGGCCTGCTCAAGTCACGGTATGGCTGGGAGATCTTAACTACAGAATACAAGGGATAGAAACACATCCAGTCAGAAATCTTATACAGAAAAACCTTCACAAAGTAAGTTGAATCTTAACGTGACAATACTGTCGTCGCATTATCAATCATAATCTGACGAGATCTCAAATTTTGATAACGGCGCAGTTTCTCACCGGCAAAGATCAACTTCTGCAAGAAGCTGAAAGAGGACAGGTGTTTGATGGATACTGCGAAGGGACATTGACTTTTAAACCAACATACAAGTACGATGTTGGAAGCAGCGATTACGATACAAGTTACAAGGTCACCGAATTTTCTCTTTTTAGCTGTTTCTTTGACTCGATCGATGGTTGATGATAAGTGCATAAATTTGGTTCTCTTGCGTGTTAACGTCTTCACAGGTGCGAGTCCCATCATGGACAGATCGAATCTTATTCAAGATTCAAGACATGGAGGAAATCAGGGCGAGTTTGCATTCTTACGAGTCAGTTGATGACATTCACAGTTCGGATCACAAACCAGTGAAAGCTCACCTCTGCTTGAAAGTTAATGAACAGGCATAACCTGTCAATAGAAATCAATTTTTCTTTTCTTTGTTATATCAGCTTATGTTTTTTCGTGCCATCCCACGTCCGCAAATTGAGTATAACGTGATTTTAGGGATAAGAAATTAACATGGTGCAGGGCTTTTCTTTTTCTTTTTTTATTCTAATCATAGATTAAGTATATATTCAGTAACATGTATTATCATAAAATCAATAAATAAAAATAAAAATATTAAAAATATATTTTTATCAGTAAATTATCAATAAATTTTACTGATAAAAATATTTTCTCAGTATTTATCAAGAAAAAATCTCATCAATTAATCTAAAGATGATAATAATGATGATTATTATTAAAAATATTTTTCACTTGGATATTTTTAAAATAATATATGTTTTATTTTTTAAAATTATTTCTAAATATAGTATATCAAAACAATTTAAAAACATAAAAAATAATTTTAATTTTAAAAAAATGTTTGAATGCATGTTCTCAAACATTAATCTTTCTTCATTAGTTCAGTCCATCCATCTCATAATATAAATGTAGAACCTCCAAATTGAAATATCAAAACATAATTGTTAGGCTGTCCTCGAGAATGGAATAAAGTGCTTAGTTGTTAGCTGCTGGTACTGATATATCAAACATAGCTTGCTGAAGCGATGTTTGTGCTTTTGAAACCACCCACCGACCAAATTTAGCCCTCAATGTTATTTTATTACGCAATTTATAGTAAATAAAATAAAATAAAATAAAAGTTTTTCAAAATCTAAGATTACAACTCCTTTAATGTTGAGAAATCTATAAAAACTCAAATACATTCTAAAACGTTTATAATTCATAAAATTATGATAAAAAATAAAACATAATTTATTTATATATATATAGTGATAAGAACAAGCACAACAAATCCAAAAACAAATGAGAAAATTAATAATTAAAATTAAAATATTGATAATAATTAAAAATACAAAAACAACATACTCTAAGACTAATTTGAAGATATTCTCAATCTTGACCAATTAGTTATCTCTATAAAACCAAGATTATATTAGCTTGTGATCGAATTTGAATCCAATTAAATTATTAAAATTGTTTTTCTCCCAAACTAATGGTTTGATGCGTTCAAATATTGTTTAGACTTTATCAAATCCACATAGTTAACAATCATATCCGTTCTAATTTGTTCACCTGAAGCCATGCTGCCTCCATCGGCTAAACAGCCACCGAGACATTTCAAATTGGATCACCTGGCTGACCAAAATTGAAAACTGGGTCTTTTGACATCTTCTGATGGATGGAGAGATGCACAACATGTAGTTGATTGTATGAAAATCGCTTTTTCTATAGTTTAATTTCCTCGTATTTTAGGCAAAAATTGGAACCCTTTCATTTCCCAAATAGACCAGAAAAAGAACAAAATGCAAACAAAATGGACGCGTTTGTTGTTTTGACCGACAGATGAAGACATCGACATGTGAAAAAGAAGACCTTAGAAGTTTGCACGACTCAAAATTCGGCTGCTTGTATTTTTCAACCTGGAAGGACAAATTATAGTCCTATAATTGTTTTCGAAGAAAAAGGTGCCGTCCGTACCTTTTGTTTCGAGAAGAACTCCGCTGTTTTATTTTAACTTCGGTTATAAAAGGGTACCCTGGCGGTTGTACCCGGAATCCAGCTACAGCATGGTCTGAATTAGTTCGGTTGAAAAGAAAATAGGTTACCGTATTAATCCGGTTTCATCTGATCTAGACTAAGGGTCATTGATATTGTATTTTAAAAAAAAATTATTTTATTTTATTTTATTTTATTTTAAATTAATATATTTTTAATATTTTTAAATATTTTAATATATTACTATTAAAAATAAATTTTTTAAAATTAAAAATACTTTAAAAAATAATCACATTTACATTTTCAAACATACTTTAAAAATAACCCATAAGTCTTAGTAAAAGTCAATCAAAATCCAATCCTTGACTTATAGATTTTTTTAAATATTTTATTATATAATATTGTTTTGATTATTTAAAATAAAAATTAAATTAAATTTTTTTATTTAAAACATGAATCTTATCTTGAGTTCATACTCATATTAAATTTTAAAATTATGATTTGAATATCCAAATACTAAATCTGATAAAATTGTTTTAGAGAGGCATAGCTAGAGAGGTAATTTACTTTTTATATGACAAGATTAAAGTAAAGTTACTAGAGAATAATGAGTGGTAGGTTTTTTTTTTTCCCCTGTCAAGCAGAGGGCTTAACTCTTTAACATTTTAATTATTTTTATGCGCATTAATATAAAATTTCAATATTAAATTATTGAAAGAGAAGTATTGAAAAAATGGGAATAACCAGAAATACCTTGCAAGACACTTAAAATCCTTGAAAAAGTAGAAAGAAAAAAGTTTTCGATCAACACCTGTCCAATGTAAACGATGTTTTTGATGGAAAAAATCATGTGTAAAAATCAATTTTCTTTTACTTTCCTCGGAAGAAACTAAGTTTAAAGTCATGCATCATGCTTTGATTTTCATGTCCCCAGTTATTTTGTCGTGGCCACGAATTTTGCATCCGGCGTAACAATTTCAAAAGATATATATGTGAAGGTGCGAAAAATTACTTTTAAAAGTATTTTTTAATTTAAAAAATATTTTTTAAAATTTATTTTTGATCATACATCAAAACAATCTAACAATAATAATTAAAATAATAATTAAAAAATTAAAAATTAAAAAAAATAATTGAACTGTAATCCAAACAACCCTGAAAAAAACTATATATTTTGGCATACGATCTCGATTCCCAATACTTTATTTCTCGACCACACCCCATGTAGCATCATCCATGTCCGAATGGACTTCAGTATCTTTTCTCGCGTTTTTCTTTCAAAAACTATCTTTATTTTCTCAAAAAGGAGAACACTTCTTCTTCTTCTTTTAAGAAAAAAATCAGATTCTGTCCATTTTTTTCCTCTTTTGCTCACATGAAACACATTCAGTACTCCGGGAGGAGTAAATATCATTTTATAATTTATCCATTTAAATTAAGCTATATATTCTGATTGATAATTGATATATTCAAGTGATTTACTGTAATTATAATAATGTACAGAAATAGCAATAAAAAACATATTAGCCTTGGCATATAATTACAAATTAATACTTGTATTTTAATTTAAATAAATGATATATAGAGCAATGGATGCTCATGGAACAATTATTTATCTTGTCATTTTTAAAGATTTTTTAAAAGTTGAAATGTGATTGTTATAGAAATTTTTGTTTTAAAGCTAAATCAAGTTCCATCCAAGTTTGGCAAAACTGTGAAGCCATGTAACGCGCGCCAACTAGACAAATCTTTTTTTGGTTGAGTCTCCTTGTTGAAGAATTAGCATGGACCCTACATGCAAATATATGTTCTGCAAATTAAACCACAGTTGTGAATTCTGAGTCTTTGTTAGACAATCCCAATCGGGTTTCGATGATCCTTCGTCAATCATCGGACTCTTTTGGGCTTGTTAACAAATATTCTAGATAAATAAACCCAACACGTTTTGTTTCTCTGTACAAATTTGACTTTGAAATTGCGTTCCATTCAAGCAGTTCTCAATTCTCTGCGTATTTTTCTCTCATATTTCTTAACTCTATACACTATCATCAATTCACTCTCCAAATCCCATATCTTCTGTACATACAATTCTGTTCATTGGTTTTCTTGTAGATATTTTTCATCTATACACACAAGAGACGGGGGGGAGAGAGAGAGGGAGAGGGTGTTGTTAGCAGCAAGAAAATAGCCTTTTATTTTTAAGACTGCAAATTTTGTAGCTTTTGAGCAAATTGGGGTCTGATCTGATCTGGGATTTTTCTGCCTCAACCGTTTTTTTTCTGTTAGAGGTGAATATCTTCCACTTTTTGGTTCTTTCCTTACCTTTCTATTTTCTTTCTCTTTAGAACCTGAAATCAAAAGGTTACGTGTCATGAATTTTATGGGCATGTTGAGGTGGAAGAATCAATCTTTTTATCTCCCCTTTTCTCTCTTATATTGATTTGAGCTGGTGGGCGTTGGGGACTCTTGATGTTCAGCTACATATTTTGTAGCTGAAACATTCCGGGGCATTACAATGCCTGGTTGGTGATTTTGCTTGATATAGCTTATTCGTGATTTTGCATTGGTTGTTGAATAGGAAGGCAATATAGCTAGAGTTGGCTATCCTAGTATTGGAATTAAGTTTCCTGGAAAAATATAATCAGTGTGCAGGGATGCTTAACTGCCCTATTCATATTGAATTTTTGTACTGCTTGCAATGTAAAATGTAAACCAAGTTTGAAGCTTTTATGTCAAGTTGGAAATTGCTTGCAAGCTGAGGCTTTTCTTCCTTCCCTCTTACGAATAATCCCGCGAGTTTCATGTCATGCCAGTATCATTGTGTGAATGCTTCCTGTCTGTTGGTGATTGCTGAGCCTGCTGCATTTTGCGTCTTTTATTTTGGTTCATTTGATTGACTGATTGCTTTATTTTGCAGTTAA